GGGGGGGGGGGGGGGGGGCAACGCTGGCCCTGGGTCCCTCTCTGACGGGGCAGGGGAGCCGGGGCCAGCCTGCGTCGCTCACTCACGGCAGAAACGTAACTTTTCATCTCCAAGTTCCCCTCCAGGGCATAGCTCAGGGCTTGGCAGGAGCTTAGGGGCCTGGTTTTATTCATTTGTTTATTTTAAAAATATTTTTTCCATTGATTTTAGAGAAAGAGGAAGGGAGAAGGAGCGAGAGAGAAAAACATTGGTGTGAGAGAGGAACATGGATGGGCTGCCTCCTGCACGCCTCCTACTGGGGAGGGAGCCCTCAACCCCCACATGTGCCCTGACGGGGAACCAAACCTCTGGGTGCAGGGATTCATCCCCAACCACTGAGCCACGTGCTGGGCAGGGACCTGGTTTTAGTCCAAATGACCTCTTCTTCCTTCTCCTCATGAAATAACCAGTTTGGGGGCACCTCCTAGCAGGACGGGACCTTGGGAAGCAATTTACAGAAATGGAGGCATTTCTCAGCCAGGTCTCCCCACGCCCCGTCCAGGGCGCTCACCGCGCAAGCGAGGGCTCCGGAGAGGACCCCGAGGTGGGCCAGCTGCCCGTCCGTCCTCCCTCGCCCCCCGTGGGCTCTGCGTCTTGGCCACAACTAACGGGCTCTCCGCTCCCGCAGCTCTTCGTGATCGACAACGGTGCGGATGACTGGCGGATAGCCATGACCTACGAGCGCATCCTCTACATCAGTCTGGAGATGCTGGTGTGCGCCATCCACCCCATCCCCGGCGAGTACAAGTTCTTCTGGACGGCTCGCCTGGCCTTCTCCTACACACCCTCGCGGGCGGAGGCCGACGTGGACATCATCCTGTCCATCCCCATGTTCCTGCGCCTGTACCTGATCGCGCGCGTCATGCTGCTGCACAGCAAGCTCTTCACCGACGCCTCGTCCCGCAGCATCGGGGCGCTCAACAAGATCAACTTCAACACGCGCTTCGTCATGAAGACGCTCATGACCATCTGCCCGGGCACCGTGCTGCTCGTCTTCAGCATCTCGCTGTGGATCATTGCAGCCTGGACCGTGCGCGTCTGTGAAAGGTATTCCGGCGGGTCGCGCTCTCCATCCAGCCCCTGGCTCCCGAGCACAGAGCCCTCCTGGGGTAGGGGAGGGAGGTGGAGCACTGGGGGGGAGGGAGGGGGCAGGATGTGTATGCCTGAGGGAGGAGGTGGTCACCTGCCCACACACCTCCAAGGAGAAAATGGGGAGGGCCCAGCCAGGCCGAATGCGAACTGCACCGTGGAAATACTGCCGCGGAGGTAAGCTGGGGGAAATGCATGTGTAAAATAACGCGTTCTCTGTTCCCGCTTTGTAAACCAAAATGTATCCACGCACCCCGGTGACACCCACCGTTAGCCTTTCTCGGGTATAACGCTGCAACTTTTGAATCCTCTCTTCCTGTTCGAGATGAACTATGCTCACATGTTGAAGGCTTGAGAAGTCCTGTAGCAATGAAACGGGTTTGATTTTGTTGAGCCTCGATTTTCTCAAAAGTATTTGCCCAGGAGCCCTTTTCAACAGGTAACACTGTTGGTGCTTCCCTACGCAAAAGGTGGGGCCACAGACCAGCAGCGGCCGCAGCCCTGGGAACTTGTTAGGGTGCAGAATCTCAGGCCTGAGCTCAGAACCACTGAGTGGAATTTGCATTTTAACAAGTTCCCCGGGTGATCTGTAAGCACCTTACCACGTGAGAAGCCCTGTGCTGGCGGAACATTCTTTGGGAAACATTGTTCTAAGGAGGCTGGTGGTTGGGTTCAGGGAAGCAGCTGGTGGGAGAGAAGGGGCCCCTGGCGACACCTCCCCACTCCAGGCTGACCCCGGATTTTCATTTTCACCTGATCTCGCATGTGGCGTCTGAACACCTGGGTTAGAAACCTGTTTCTACGTAGTTGCAAGACCCTTGGAACGTCACTTAGCATCTCTGGCTTTAAGGTTCTTATTTTAAAATGAGGATCTTGAGATAAAAGGGAGATGTGCTCACTCGAGAGGTTAGTTTCGCTATGTGGGGGGGCTTGCTCAAACCTCCGGTGTGATTTGCACGGATCCTGGTAGTCACCTTTAATTCGTCAGCGCACACAATTGTACTGCTTCTCTTAAAGAGACCATGCGAGTTCTTTTAGAACCCAGCTTCCATGACCATTGTCCTCCCCCAGTGTCAGATAATAAGCAAGATGGGCAGGAGCCTCGAGACAGGAGCTCACCCACCCGAGACTGGACAGAGATGGGGTGAGAGGCTGCTTTGGGGGACCAGCGCATTGGACTGGGGGGAAGAGGTGGGGTCATGTGGGCAGCATGCCCTGGATCCGTCAGCCTGATCTGATTAAGATTCTGTCACCTTAGAGAAGGTCGGTGACTAGCCCAAGGTCACATCGCAGCATGACAGGTTCTAGGACAGTGATGGCGAACCTTCTGAGCTCGGCGTGTCAGCATTTTGAAAAACCCTAACTTAACTCTGGTGCCGTGTCACATATAGAAATTTTTTGATGTTTGCAACCATACTAAAACAAAGACTTATATTTTTGATATTTATTTTATATATTTAAATGCCATTTAACAAAGAAAAATCAACCAAAAGAATGAGTTCGCGTGTCATCTCTGACACACGTGTCATAGGTTCGCCATCGCTGTGCTAAGACAACTCCCGCCCGCCCCTGGACGGAGCAGGGCCGGTTCCCATTCCCCGGGGCTTCCCTCAGCCTGCCGCCTGGTTGTATACACGCTCTTCTGAGGTTGCTATGGAGACCCCGCTTCAGCAAGACGCCTTTTGAAAGACATTTCTCATGTCTGGGGCCGGCTCTGATGTGACGATAGAGGTTTTTCGCATTTGCTCCTTCCAGGAAGGGAGGGGACTTAGTAATCACCCCGAACAGGCCGCCTGCGGTGGGAGGGCAGCAGCCGGCAGCTGGGAAGGCACCGACAGCAGCAGGCTTGTTTTGCTTGGACCCCAGTGAGGCATTACATCATGGCTTCCAAGGCCTGACCATCGTGGCCCTCCGGGATTCTCCTGGCCGCCTGCCCGCCTACCCCCGGCCGCCCAGAGCCCATCTGAGGAACCTCCTCATTAAACACTGTCACATGCCCAGCAGCCTGGCTGGTGGAGGGACCTTCCACAGCCCCGGTCCCCAGGCGGCAGGTGGGGGCGACGGGGCGGGGGCCGCCTGCCAGCTCCCAGGTGTGTGTTTCTCTCCCGGACGCTGATGAAGTGGCTGAGCCCGGTTTTGTAAATGGCCTGCCAGCCTCTTGAGCGGCCCCCTGTGGACTGCTCCCCGCTGAAGCTGGAAGCTGTACACATGGGCTGTCTCCGGACCTCTGGCCTGTCACCAGGTCTCTGGTGAGGAGGTTATGAATTTTCATCTTTTTCTGGATATCTGCATTATAACGAGAAGTGCGAGTCTGGAGACCTGGACCCTAGAACGGGAGAAGAACAATCCGTCATAAGGGAGATGGAAAGAGGTTTCCTTCCACTGGCTTCTGCCTCTATCTCAGACACTCAGCTCTGCACCAACCAGAAGGCAGGGAGCAAGAGCCTCCCTCCTCCCACAAACTGCCCCCTCTCCACCCCCCAGCAGGGCCTTCAGCTCCCAGGAAGCAGTAGGGAGACCATCTACAGGATGAAGCACCCAGCATGGGGGGCGGTGAGCCCCCAAGTAGGGCTTGTGAGAGGAGTCCCGAGAACCAGGGTGAGGACTGTAGTTTCTCATGGCCTCTGGTATCTGAGGCACGACCCCCAATGTGGACCACAGGCGGGGAACCCAGAAGGGGGAGAAATGATCAGAACTTCTAGTTATAGTTATTTTTATCTAAGAAATTAGCACTGCTAACATTTTAATATGCAGCCATGCGTGGGTGTCATTGAGGATGAACATACATGTAGCAAGAGGAGAGTGCGTGCTCCAGAAATGTGCCCCGCAGGAACCTACGGGTTTAAAGGTCGTAAGCTACTGGTTTGGAGGGTCGGAGGCCTCGTTCATGAGGACTGTAGCCTGCTAGACCCAGAGCCCCTGCCTCTAGTTAGAGGAAGAAATCCGCAGCCTGTAGGGCAGAGGAGCTGCCTCAGGCAATCCTGTGGCCCTGTGCCAGCCCTGGACAGATCACTGTAATTCAAAGACGAATTTCACCGCAGGGGGTGGGAGGAAAGTGAGGAAGGGAGAGAGGACATGAGGGGAGGGGACCCTAAGGAGGCCTTTGAAACAGCTCTGCAGCGTTAGCAAAGAGGGATCTAACCCTGGAGATGCAGGAGAGTGTGTAATTATGAGGAACAAAGAGCAACCTCAGGAGGTTGGTGGGCATCCCTCACAGGGCAAGCCGATGTGGGCTCTGTGACGGAGAGGGGCAGGGAGATGGGAAAGGAGAACGTGTCTGTCTCACGCAAGCACAGGGTTCCAGAAAAGTAAAATTGTTTTAGCAAAAAGAAAACCCACATCGGGGGCCCTGAATTGTTAAGAATGTGGGGGACCAACCCAAAAGTTCCCTCTGAATGTAGGAGACAAGAACAAAGACACGAGAGAAGGGAATGAATGGCACTGAACTGAAGGCTATAGAATTAAGACCAAATCCAAGAGGTAGAGTTAGTTTTGGAGGAAGAAACCAGAATAATTTGGATAAAAGCATAATCAAGAACATGCATGAAGAAAACTTTTCCAGAAGTGGCCAGCGGAGGGGCAGTGGGGAGGTTAAGATGAGGCGGCTGGAAAATTTACTGAATCATAAGGTTCAGCGATCTAGAAGCACGCAGGCAACACAATGCAGACTTTTCCTCAGGAACCCTAAGTCCCAGGAGACATGAGGGTTGCAAACCCTCTAATTAAAAAGTTGAGAGAGGCCGAAACCGGTTTGGCTCAGTGGATAGAGCGTCAGCCTGCGGACTGAGGGGTCCCGGGTTCGATTCCGGTTAAGGGCATGTACCTTGGTTGTGGGCGCACCCCCAGTGGGGAGTGTACAGGAGGCAGCTGGTCGATGTTTCTCTCTCATCGATGTTTCTAACTCTCTATCTCTCTCCTTTCCTCTCTGTAAAAACTCAATAAAATATATTAAAAAAAAAATTTTTTTAAGTTGAGAGAGAAGGTTAGAAAGGATTAGTAGAAGCATGCGAAAGTCATCATCTTAGGCAGAAGAGAATTTAAATAGCCTGATCCCTAGATTGTACTAATTAGAGCAGTATAATTTAAATCACTTTTAAACCTAAAGGTAACCACAGATAGAATTTTTGAAGTGCAACAATATTGATAACAATAGCACCAGGCAGGTATTATTTCACTTAATCCATACCCAGCTCTGTGAGGTGCAGGGGTTAGTATGATCTCCATTCCACGTGTGGGGAAGCAGGCACAGAGAGGTTAAGCAACGTGCTTTGAATTCATTAAAAGAACTAAACAAACTTTAGGAGAACAGATTAAGTTTATAACGCAAAGCCAGGAATGAATGGATTTAAAAACAGAAAAACAATTTATAAACCTAAACCACACTGATGTCTAATAAATCTAATCAAGGAAAAAAGGAAACACAAGCAGTATTAGAAATTTTAAGGGGAATAGCACTTTTTTCCTTAAAATATGTTTTCATTGATTTTAGAGAAAGAGAAAGGAGAGATGGAAACTGATAGGCTGCCTCCTGCATGTCCCCCACTGGGGACAGAGTCCAAAACCCAGGCATGTGCTCTGACTGGGCATCAAGCCGGTGACCTCTCAGTGCATGGGACGATGCTCAACCAACTGAGCCACACCAGCCAGGGCACTTAACTTTTTTTTTTTTTTTTAAGAGAAGAACACCGAAGGGAACTTTCTCTGCTTGATATTAAAATGTGTTATGAAACTCAAGTAATGAAGTCCCCTACTGGAAAATCAGTAATGGCAGATCAATGAAACCTAATGGAAAACTCAGAAAGAAACCCTAGTATGTAAGAACCCAACATATGAGAAAGAAAACCAATTAGGAAGCAATAGATTATTCCATAAATGTTAACGGGGAGGTAGGATACCTGGATTAAAAGTCAAATTAGAACCCCATCTCTCACCAGCCACCAAAATAAATTCCCGTTGCA